CGCTGCTATAATCCAAGTCCCGGATGCTAGCCGTTGAAAAAGTTAATTTTTACTGACAGGTAATTCTTCGTACGCGGTTAATAGAAACCATGGATACTGCAGAGTTTTAAATGATTCACTTCTCTATTGAATGTGCGTTGGTGTCGTAATTTATGAGGGTCACCATCTATCAACAAAAGGATGAGTTCAGAATACCTCTGGTGTGGCAAGCTAGTACATCAGTAGGGTTAGTCATACAATATATGTAATTGACAGACATGCTTTTGTTGATATTTCGCAATTCACGCATAAGTTAATGGACAAGGCTTATGAAACTTCTAATAATATCGTCAGATGTCATTCACTTAGCCCTATCATTTTGGAAAATACCGCTGTTTTGTTGACAGCTGCTAACTGATCATAAAATGCCATTTCAGCTCATAACATCAAAACACATTCACCTTTGGTCGATTTTAAATTGATGTATAGTATACATAAAGATGGATGTGTACAGTATATTGGCCGAAAACTGCAAATCAAAATAATAATGATTATCAATTATGAGTGTGTTGATTATCAATGTTTTATATGAATGTGCAGCTTGGCCAAGGAGACAAACATCCTTGCATACACAAGCACATAACCACGATCACTCATGCTCACTCACACTCACACATATTCACACAAACTCGTATATAAACTCATTTACATACGTATATACATACATATCAAAATAAGTGACTGTCCGTTGAAAACCAAGAGTATCATACATGCTGATTATAACTGGAAGTTCATTGTGTTTATATGTTGTTCTACGTTATATGTTGACTTACAAGAATCAATAGTGTTTTGCTGAATTTCATATTCTGATCACTGTATATATTTTTTCATCAAAATAGACAAAATAGACAAAATTACTCTTTTATGAACGCTTGCCTGACACTAAGCCTGGGCTGTACGCCACCAGTAAATCATTTGGCCCAGATTTATAGATATTGAGGCAGCCCATTTTTACTTGAAGTGTCCAAGGAAGTAAAACATGGCGGGTATTTCCGTAGAGTCTTGCTTATGTTTTCGTAAGCCGAGTATTTTCACGACAAAAACATCAGAGATAGTTATAGTTATTAAGAAATCATATAAGAAAGGTCATTAAGAGAACCGGTCACATTTAAGGAATTACAATCTGTAAAGGAAATTCAGCAGAAATGGACAGGCCATTTTCACGGTGGCTTAGCAAATTAGGTGCCTCGATATGGACAGCGATTTAAGGGGAGGTCATTTGGTTACAAGATATGTTATCTGACCGTAAATCACTGGCAAAACTAGCACACACACACACACGCACACACACACACGCACACACACACACACACACACACACACACACACACACACACACACACACACACACACACACACACACACACACACACACACACACACACAAACATATATATATATATATATATATATATATATGTTTATACATTTGTGTGTATGTATAAATAGTGACGAGGTTCTCATCCTCAGTGTCTCAGAAATCCCGAGCGAGTCGTTAGGAAAGTTTGCGCGCCTTGAGTCGAGGCATAAGAGGACAAGCAGTGCCTCTGTGGCTGCCAGCGACTTCGTCTTTGTTCCTTAGCTCTTGCTCTCTCTCTCTCTCTCCTCTCTCTCTCTCTCTCTCTCTCTCTCTCTCTCTCTCTCTCTCTCTCTCTCTCTCCTCTCTCTCTCTCTCTGCTTATTCTTTCTTTTTCTTCGTCTGTCCCTGCTCTCTCTCTGTCTATCTGTTCTTTCTTTCTGTTTGTGTCTGCCTTCCTTTCTTTCTCTCGGTCTGTTTATTCCTTTTTTATTTGTCTCTTTATTATTTTCTTCTTTATGTTCCGTTATCTTTCTCTTCGTCTTTTTTGTTGTTGTTGTCTATTTGTTTCCTATCTATGTCTGCATACTCTTCTTTTTTGTGTTTTTTTCTCTATGTCTGTCTATCTCTTTCTTGTTTTTCTTTATGGATGTCTGGTCCATCTTTATTTTTGTCTGTTTTCCTATTCCCTTCATTATCTTCGTCCGTTTATCTCTTCTCTCTCTGTTTATCCCTGCATTTTTTTGTCCATTCTTCCTCTATTTTTATATATCCCTTCTTTTTCTCTGACTCTCTGTCTCTCCTTCTTTTTCTTCACCTTTCTGTCCTTTCTCTCTGTCTGCCTATCCCCATTTATCTCCTCTATGTC